GCATTAGCATCAGCATCAGCATCAGCATCAGCATCAGCATCAGTGTAAGCAGCATCATCATCAGCATCTTCATCAGCATCATCAATGTCATCATCAGCATCATCAGCAGCAGCATCAACAGCATCATCAGCATCATCATTGGCGCCATCATCAGCGTCAGCAACATCATCAGCGTCATCAGCATCATCAGTATCATCAGCTTCATCAGCTTCAGCAACGTCATCAGCGTCATCAGCATCATCAACGTTAGCAGCGTCAGCAGCGTCAACATCAGCATCAACAGCATCAGCATCAGCACCAGCATCAGTCTAAGCAGCATCAGCATCAGCATCATCAGCATCAGCATTATCAGTGTTGTCATTAACATCATCAGTGTCTTCATCCGCATCATTGGCGTCATCAGCATCAGCATCAGCGCAATCATCAGCATCATCAGCATCATCAGCATCATCAGTATAAACAGCGTCAGCAGTGTCAAAAGAGTCAGCAACGTCAGCGGCATCTGTAGTGTCAACAGCAGCATCAGCATCAGCATAAGCAGCATCAACATTGTCATTATCAGATTCAGCATCAGCATTATCATCATTAGCATTATCAGCATCAGCATCAACATCATCAGCCTCAAAAGCATCAGCATTATCAGCAAAATTATAATCAGCATCATCAGCACTATCAGCATCATCAGCATCAGCGTCATAAGCGTCAGTAGCATCAGCATCAGCATCATCATAAATATAAAAAACAACATCATCATCAGCATCATCAGCAATGGCATCATCAGCATCAGCAGCATCATCAGCATCAGCATAATCATCGGCAAGAGCATCATCATCAATATCATCGTTTTTATAAGGATCATTATCATAAGCATTCACATCAGCATCAGCAGCAACAGCAGCATCAGCATCAGCATCATCAGCATCAGCATCATCATCTTCATCAGCATCAGCGTCACATTTACAGCATAAGCATCAGTAGCATCAGCATCAGCAACATCAGCATCAGTAACATCAGCATCAGCAACAAAAAGCATCGGCATCAGCATGAGCAGCATCATCAGCAGCATTAGCATCATCATCGTCATTATCAGTGTAAATATCAGCAACAGAATCATCCTCATTATTATCAGGATCATCATCATCATCAGCGTCAACAACATCATCATCAGCGTCATAATCATCATTATCATCAGCATCAGCATCATCAGCATTGCTTCAGCATCATCAGAATCAGAATCAGCATCAGCATCAGCATCATCAGCGTCAGCAGTGTCAGCATCACCATCATCAGTGTCATCATTAATAACATCAGCGTTATCAACAGCATCATCGGCATCAGCATCAGCATCATCAGCATCATCATGAGCATCTTAATTAGCATCATCATCAGCATGCTCATGACCATCATCATTAACATCATCAGCATCAGCATCAGCAGAATCAGCATCAGCATCAGCATCTTCAGCGTCAGCATCAGCATCATCAATATCATTAATAACATTATCAGTGTCATCATCAGCATCACTGGCATTATCATCGGCAGCATCAGCGTCATCATCAGAATAATCAGTTTCGTCATCAGCATCATCAGCATCATCAGCATCATCATCAACAATATAAGCGTCAGCAACATCATCATCAGCGTCATCATCATCATTATCATCAGCATCAGCATCAACAGCATCAGCATCAGCATCAGCATTATTTGCAACATCAGCTTCATCAGCATCAGTGTCATCAGCGTCAGCAGCATCCTAAGCGTCAGCAGCATCATCAGCGTCATCAGCATCATCAGCTTCAGCATCAGCAATAGCAACAACAGCAACAGGTTCAGCAGCATCAGCATCAACAGCATCAGGACCAGCATCAACATCATCAGCGTCATCAACATCATCAGCATCAGCATTATCATCATCAGTATTAGCATCAACAGCATCATAAGCATTAGGGTGAACAGCATCATCAGAGTCTGCAGCGTCAGCAGCGTCAGCAGCGTCAGCAGCGTCAGCAGCGTCAGCAGCGTCACTAGATTACCGTCGTCAGCGTTTGCAGCAGCATCATTAGCATCATCAGAATCAACAGTGTCATCATCAGCACCAGTGCGTAATTATTAGCATCTGCAGCGTCAGGAGCATCAGCAGCATCAGCAGCATCACGAGCATTATCAACATCAGCAGCATCATTGGCATCAGCATTAGCATTATCAGTATCAATATCATTAACATTAAAATCAGCATTAGTTACATCAGTTACATCAGCATCATCATCAGTGTCAGCAGCACCAGCATCAGCTTCAACATAAGTAGCGTTAGCATCATCAGAATCAACAACGTCATCATCAGCATCAGCACCGTCATCTTCAGCATCAGCCTCAGAGTCATCAGCATTATCAGCATCATCAGCATCATCAGCATCAGAATCAAGAGCATCATAAGCATTATCAGCATCATCAGCAGCATCATCAGCATCAGCATCAGCAGCATCAGCAGTGTCATCATTAGCATCAGCAGCGTCATCATAAGCTTTAGCAGCGTCATTGTTAGCTTCAGCAAAATGAGCATCATCAGCATCATCAGCTACATCAGCAGTCATCAGAGTCAGCAGTATCATCATAAGTGTCATCATCAGCGACATCAGTGTTAGCAGTATTATCAGCGTCACCAACATCATCATGGTAAGTTACAGCAGCAGGGTTGTAATCATCATCATCATCAGCATCATCATCATCATCATCATCTGCATCATCAGAATCATCAACATCATTGGCATCATCAGCATCATCAGCATCATCAGCATCATTAACATCAGAATAATCAGAATAATCAGCATTATCAGCATCATCAAAATCATCAACATCAGCATCAGCATCAGAATCATCAGCATTATCAGCATCATCAGAATCATGAATATCAGCATCAGCAGCAGCATCAGTCAGTGTCAGCAGCATCCGAATCGGGAACATCAGCAGCATGAACATCAGCATCATCAGCATCAGCATTGTCATCATTAGCATCAGCAGCGTCATCATTAGCATCAGCAGCGTCATCATTAGCTTTAGCAGCGTCATTGTTAGCTTCAGCAAAGTCAGCAGCATCAGCATCATCAGCATAATCATCAGCATCAGCAACATCAGCAGCATCAGTAGCATAAGCAACAGCAACTGCATCAGAAGTATCAGCAGCATCAGCAGAATCAGCAGCATCAGTAGCATCAGCAGCATCAGCAGCATCAGCAGCATCATCAGCATTATCAGCATCATCAGCATCATCAGCATCATCAGCATTATCAGCATCATCAGCATCAGAATCATCAGCATTATCAGCATCATCAGAATCATCAACATCAGCATCAGCATCAGCATCAGAAGAATCATCAGCTGCATCATCAGCATCAGAAGAATCAGCATCAGCAGCATCAACATCAGCATCACCTTCAGCAACATCAGCATCAGTGTCAGCAGCATTAGCATCAGCAGCATCCGCATCAGCAGCATTTGCACAGCAACACCAGCATTGCATCATCAGTTTCAACATCAGCTTCAGCAGCATCAGCACCATCATCATCAGCGTCATCTTCAGCATCATCAGCGTCAGCAGCATCATCAACGTCAGCGTCAGCATCAGCATCGTCAGCGACAGTGGCAACATTATCAGCGGCATCATCAGCATCAGCTTGATCAGCATCATCAGCAGCAGCATCAGCAGCATCATCATCAGTGTCTTCATCAGCATCATCAATGTCAGAGTCATCATCAGCGTCATCAGTGTTAGCAGCATTATCAGCCTCAGCAGCATCAGCATCATCAGCGTCATCTTCA